TAAGGCAGCCACTAGTCACATGTAGCCATTTTGCAGTTAAATGTGGCTGGTACAATGTAACTAAGGCACTGAGTTTTAAATTTTTTTAATTTTAGTTTTAATTTTAATAGCCACATGTGGCTAGTGGCTATTGTATTGGACAGTGCAGACATATACAGTTGGGAGGCTTGTATTAGTTACAATTGCGTTTGGCTGTGACTAACAGAAGAAACCAAAATAGAATTATTTCATCTGCTTCACAAATATATCCACACATAGGTAGACATTGCTGGTGTGGTACATCACGGTGTCAGAGATCTGATCTCTTTCTGTTATATTTTTGCTGTGCCTTTAGTCCCAGGATCACCTCATGGTTCAAGATAACTGCTCCAGCTATCACATTCACATCCCACAAGGAAGAAAGATGAAAGAGAAGGAAAAGGGTGTGCCTCCACCCCTTTTCCTTCAAGGATAGTCTCCATGTTGCACACACCATTTCTGCTTACATCCCATTGGCCATTCGGCTGAATGGCGTGACCATGTTTGCCATGAGCCTCCAACCTCCTCCCACCAAAAAAAACCCAAAAAACCCATTGCCACTGAGTCCATCCCGACTCTACCTATCAGACAGAGTAGAACTGCCCATAAGGTTTCCTAGACTGTAATTTTTACAGAAGCAAACTGCCACATCTTTCTCCTGCAGAGCGGCTGTTGGGTTCAAACTACCGACATTTTGGTTAGCAGCTGAGCACATAACCACCGTGCAAGGGCTTTTACCCAGTTAAAAGACATAGTTAAAAGAAATGGAATTTAATCACATCACACCTAGGTGGAAAATGGGAACTGGGAAATGTACAGTAAGTCCCTGGGTTAAGAACATCCGACTTACAGACAATTTGTACTTAAGAACAAACTGCCATAAAGCCTACTGTATTAAAAATTTGAGATAAATACATTGGTTCGTAGTAACAAATGCATGCACTACTTTGTGACACTCACGAGGTGTTTCTTAAGTGTTTTATATGCATAGAAAGGCAGAATACATACTATATACTAAGGCAAGTATTTGACTAACTGATGCTAAATAAGAACTATGTATCTGTTCCGACTTACCTACAAATCTGACTTAAAGACAGACTTAGGAATGGGTCTTGTTCATAACCCAGGGATTTCCTGTAGTCTTTATTTGGGGCAGCCAAGTACCCAGATGAAAATAGGGGGGTTCAACCGATGTAGAAGAAGGAAAGAATGGATATTGGGGACAACTAGTATTATCTGCCTCACCTGCTTTTCTGTTAACCATCGATCATGACCCTTTGCCATTTCCTTAAATATTCTTTTTAAGTTGAGAATGATATTGCATTGTATGGATGTACCATAATTTGTTTAACATATCCTGAATTGCTGGACATATAGGTTATTTTCAATGTTTTGCTTTTATAAAATCTTTCCGGCTCATCCTCATACCTCTATCTTTATGCATACTCATGATTATTTTCTCACATTTTCATCTTTTTTATTATTTTTTTCTTCCATTATTCTAGTGATGGATATCCTAGTTAAGATGCCTGGTGAATC